ACCTTTTACATTTTTTTATTAGATGCATTTCTTTAATGAAGCCATATTATTGTTTTCCAGGGAGAACCATTTATGGAAGGCCTCCGCGACAACAAGCCCCTGCTGTACAGTATTATGATATCTGGCGGCGCCGTGCTGGCACTCGCCGCTGGCATATTCCCGGACCTCTCCAACATGTTCGAGATTGTATATTTCCCACCAGATGTAAGTATTTTTTAATTATTACTCCTAAAATTCTAAAGCTATATGCTCGATAGACATGAAATTATAATTATGCTAAAGCTAATGGATGCGAATATAATAATGTAATGTAATAATCCGTATTCAGGGGATTTTCAAAACAACAGCGTTTAAAGCGATAGTTCGACTAAAATCGCAAATCAATTACAATTTATATCCTAAAGCACTTTTTAGTTTGCAAGTAGGGGATAATCCACGAATTTTTGTTTCGGGTCTGGGTTTGATGTGTGTGTTAAATTGTGTTTGTAAACGCACCCACGACACAGGAGAAAAACCTAGTGCGGGGCAACGTAACATCGATAAAAAAATGTACATTAAAAAAAATCAACAGGCCTCTGTAGGTTTGCTTCGGCCCCTCGTATGTCGTTCAAAGGTCCGGAACTCCGGAATCCCACGGTCTCGTTATTGGATCGAAGAAATATTTTATTTATTATTCTAGTGTAATAATAATTATAACAATATTGTTTTAGTTTTTTTATTATAACAATATTGAGTAGGCTGCGCGACGTCGCCGCGTCCGCGCACGCTGCTCATGAGGAAGAACCCCTCTGTGGTTCGAAACTAGTAGAACTTTTCTCAAGATAGACACGTGAATAACCCGCGAATTTTAGTTAATTTAATATTGTTTTATTTTTGTTACAGTACCGGATCATATTAGTACAAGTATTGATAGCGGACATGTTGTTCGCGTATCTAGTGGACAGACTCTGTCTCATCTTGTTTGGCGAGGGACTCCGAACCAAGGCCACGTAGCGCAGAGATCCAGCCGTAACCAGTGTCACATGATCGTATTGTAACGATTATATAGACTCTATGTATTTTATACACAAACACGATTGCGTTAACTTTCCCAATCTGAGTTTGTTTTAATAGATTCTCAATACATTTTTCTTATATAGAATTTCAAAGATCTTTTTTAAGTCTTGTGTATGCCTTTATCCTACAGCGATATATTTAACTAAAGTAACTTATATATTACACCTTAAAATATGTTTTCTTGACACTATTTTAGTCGTTTCGATTATTTTCACGTTTACTTAGCAACTCAGATTCTAAAGGATTTCCATCGATCTATGGTGGCATTAGGCGATACATATGTTTTGTTAATAGTAGCATAAATTATCATTCTATACCTTATTTCTTTTAGTATGGAGTTGAAAATCTATTAAACCAATTTGACAGAGTGGGGAAGTTGTGCTTGCGAACGTACCACAGATTATGTAATGAACAGAAAAACACTTTTTGATCATGCGCAGTATTGAGTACAGGGTGGTGTAAGTTACAGAAATAAGAGAAATATGATGATTATAGATACATATATTTTAATATTTTTGGTACCATATTACCTTTATAATAGACCTGTTTCAATATGTTAGTGCGCATGTACAAAAACGAATTTCTTTAATTTGTAGATAGATAATTGTAGTATAATTGAAATTAGATTTTACAATTTAAAGTTCCCGTAGAAGACTGCCATCTTATAAGTTCATATTTCACTCCAGAATTAACACAGAATTTTGGAACTTTGAATGAAATAAGTTCGGTATCTGGTTTTTATATAATCTGTGGATGTTTCGTGTAAATATGAATATTGTAATTCGTTACGTGTCTCTGTGCAGCCTGACTGGGGACGGTGTGACCGCTCAAATATATGTGCATTTAAGTATGATGGATAAATGTGTCGACGGTATTTATTATGAAATATAATTGTGTAGTTAAATGTATAGCTTTGTTTTATTTACCTTACTACCCCACGCCCCGGCTTCGCACGGGTGCAATGTTTTATGCATATAAACTATCCTTTTCAATCACTCTTTATATTAAAAAAAACGCATTGTAATCTGTTGCGCAGTTTTAACGATTTCAGCATACATAGGTATAAAGGGTCAGAGAAAGCGACATTGTTTCAAACTATGTACTAGTGAAATAAATATATTTTATTTGTGAATGGTTTTTACGTAGTATTTTTTTGAATTGTGTTTTGTTGAGATTTTACTGTTTTATGGGATTTAACGCGCATGTTCTTTATTATTTGTTATTTGCTTGACGTTTCGGCGGGGTTACACCTGCCATGGTCCCATAATAAGGTTGTGTTTTGATGGAACAAATCTATTTGATAAAAATGTGCCTAGAAGTACTTAAACTACAGACTTTTATTTTTACTTCATTTTGAACTTTAAGCTAAGCTTACAAAGCTTGTTATAAATATTTGACTAACACCCAGTTTCTGAAAGGCTTGTCAATTCTTTGATCAACTAACACTGCGATTAATTTGACATGACTGTCAAATCAATTTGAGTTTCTGAAACGTTGATCAGGGCATAATTAACTAATCTATGATTATTTTGATTTGACATGCGATTTATTTTTAATCATAGCCACACTGCTCCTTTTTGTTCAATAGTTCATTCTTATCTGTCAGATATGTTAATATTAAAAAAATTACGGACTGTCATTGATGTCAAACAATTCTGCGAAATTTAAATATCAAGTTACAATTTCAACAAAATGCTAATTAAACTTCCTTAAAATGGCATAACGAGGGAAGAATTTCATCGAAAGGGAAAGGCATGTTCTTTTAGAACTAGTTCAGTAGTAAGTATAAGTATAAACATATATTTTTTACCTATTGCGTTTTATAAACCTATTCGTGTTTAAAAGTATTAAATATCTTTGTTTATACTTCACATCCTGCGCTGCAGCCAAGACTGATGTATAATACGCACCATATTTTATTACAGAGACAAGCACATAATTGATAATCAGTGCACAAATGCTATTTCTACTATTCATAAAAATGAAGCTCGGGAAACCACAACGAATGAATTCCACAGTAATGCAGAAGTGTCTCGAAGCCAAAAACAGCCAATCATAGCCTATTGGAATTAAAAAGACTTCGAGACAGAATGTAGCCAAAAAAATGTAAGTTTTTGATCTTAAAATACTTTTATAGTGCCCATACTAGCTAGTCAGAATATTGTAACTATTACCAGATTAGGATATATTAAATACCTGTCCTGATTTCTTATGTAAGTACCTAATCATTGTATTAAGAATAATTATTGCAACTTTAATGAAATTTATTTACAGGTAATTTAACTTGCACATCAACGAAACAATTTAAACATGAGAGGCAGACACTCAGAAACAAAATAATAAGAAGTATAATGAAATAAAGATGGAGTATGGAAATAAAAAAAAGTTAGAATATCGGTTAACTATAAAACAGCATATATTTCGAAATAAAATAAATCATTTGGTTAAGAAATATACATTATTAGCATTTAATTTAAATATAAGTAAGTTACTATACTAACTAAATATGTATAAGTAAAATATACTTGTTTTTATATTTCAAGTGTTATATTTTATAAAGATTAATTAAACATGTTAATAATATGGTTATTTCTTTGTATTCACCTAAAAATACATACCATTTAAATATTACTTAACAATTAAAATGAGTCAACAATAAAGATGTGCGCACAGAAGTGTTTTTTTATTTATCTCTGAAAGAGCACAAATATCTTCTTGAACTATCCTAAGATATACTTGAGAAATATCCTTTCCTGTTCCTGTACAGTTCAGCTTGTGGCTCACTAGTTGACTGTATCTTTACATGTGTGCAGTCAAATGCCCCGATCACATTTGGAAAAGAGCTAATTTTGTAGGATTCTGTTTTTATCCTTGTGCAATCTTCATGTTTACAGGGCATAGTAATCGCTGCAGATTCTTTTGTTATTATTCTACAAGCCCTAGATTTGTGCACTCTCAGCAACCGTAATTTGAAACGCTCATGTGGCATGGTAATAGCTTATTGTCAGTAAAACCTATCCAAAGCACTGATAGAATGGTTCCTCAAGTGAACTGTTTAATATTCGGCACTAACATGTTAACTAGTACCTAACAGCACAAACGACTTTGTTCGTTGGTTGGTACCGATTCTTAAATTCCTCTTCATTGTAGAAATCAAACGGATTCATTCTGGTCTTATATCTTCATCGCTGCTGGATGTGCTGATACTCATCATGCTACTATCCGAAAGAAACATTATCGTAATCTAAAACCAGAATCAATGTAAGTTAATCAAGACATCAAATAATTTACACCTACAAAGAAAACAAACAAAGAAAATTGTATTATTACAAATAAAATTTCGTAATACATATTTCTGTTTAACATACCTTAAAAAAATATACTTATTTGAAGAGAAAATGTAGACTCACGTGAAAAATCAGTTGAATTCGTAAGTTAATTCGCCAACAAGCACCGATTAGTTGACCGAGCTTTTGACAGACGAATAATCTATGATCAAGGCTTGACCAGCGTTTCAGAAACCCAAAATTGCGATAATCATTCGATTCTTGAGTTGATTTGACAGCCATGTCAACTGACATGACGATCAAATTAGTTGATTAATCATGCTTTATGCAACCCAATTGTCACTTGACAAGAGATTTAACAGGAGATTAGTTAATTTTAGCGTTGACAAGCCTTTCAGAAACCGGGCGTAAGTAATTTGCGTCTGTAAAATTAGTGTACCCCTATATAATTTCATTTTTAGGGATTTATCTGATACTCTGCTTTTAACATGAAGATATACAAAAAACTCTCCGTGACACTTATTTATTTCAGTATTTCACAAATACATAGTCAACCTATACTATTCGTATCGCCTAATGTACATAACATTCAGATGCGAAGAAAGTAAGGTCGCGATAACGTCCGTAAGAGTCTGGCACCTGCGTTTGTTTATCACTCTAGTGCTTCCAGCCGCCGAGACCGCCAAGACCGCCGATACCGTAGCCGAGACCACCGTATCCGATGCCGAGATCCGCGCCAGCGAGGCCGAGACCACCGTAGCCGAGACCAGCGTGGCCGAGACCAGCGTGGCCGAAGTCGGCTCCGTAACCTAATCCATAACCACCGAGGCCAACGAGACTGGACGCGTATCCTGCACTAGCGATGGGGGCAGCGGCAATAGGCGCCACGATTTGCTTGCTCACAACGGGAGCAGCTACTAACGTCTGTGGGTGGGCGGCCGGTCCCACGCGTTTAACTACTGCGTTGAATCCTGACACTGGATCAGCAGTATAGTCCACCACTCTCAGAGTACCGTCGGGTTCCGTGAGTGAGTATGAGCCTTTAACGTATCCTCCATCCCGGGATTCAGTTTGTGCCTTCTGATCGCCAGTTAAGGGGTCGTTGACAGCATAGTTGAAGCCGTAACGAGGGATTGACTGGAAAATATAATAATTATTATTAATAAAATTACTTGTCATTTCGTTATTAAAAAATTGTTCAAAGAATTTTGTATTATCTACTTACAATACTGCCGGTAGCAACAGGCAGTGCCCCGATCGCAGACGGAGCAGCCGTTGCCACACCGAACAAGCAAGCAATCTAAAAATAAATGCAAATTCAAAATCTTGTAATTACTCTCATGAATATTAACTTAAACTGTAAACATTGTACATCGATGTTACAAACTATCGCGAAATCCATCAAATACTTTGTACATTGCTCGATTAAAGTGGTAATCGATACAAATAAAAACAACACCACATTAATCATGTTTCCACACGTTTCAGACACGTAAACCTTTAATCAATTTACATGAAAATAGCCACAAAAATATATATATTTCTTCTCTTATCTTGAATGGGGAACATAGCTAATTAGATTAATTTAAGATTAGAATCGATTTGGAATAATAGGGAATCGATTTGGTTAGTTTTCGATGATAAATCGAGATGAAAATATCACGGAACCTTACCGCAATGAAACTGAACATGATGTACAGGTAAGTTCAGGCCTGGACGTTATCCAAACTGTTTGTGCTGTGGGTAATAATGGATTGGAAGCCGGCGATGCGTATTTATACGTTCGTCGGCTCCTTATTTGTCAATTCCTTACAATCCTTCGCTTCACGCTTATTAACTATTCGCGTTACGCACCTCCGAATATATTTTCATAACGTGTCCTAAAATCGTCTGTAATTAGTTAATTATTGATTCATTGTCCGCTCTCTGTAAAACGGAGTAATTGTTTCATCAGAATCCTGTCCGATTAGAAGGAATTATGTGTTAATTGGATGGCGGTTGCTCAATCTTGCTTCCATTTTTGGACCATTCATCCGTAGTGGATTACTTAAATGTTTTAATCCTTCGTTGCTATGTTAAGTGTGCGGTAATAGTTGCGTCCAATGTGTTAATTTTTGTGCAATGTGAACGTGACAGCCATATTTCTTTAATTTTTTTTATAAACTTTTTTTGTCGTTGAGCCTATTTTTTTTTTGTTAAAAATATTCATAAGCAGCCGTATTATAAAATTTTATTTAGTTAATGTTATATTGATTAAAAATGATAATAACATAACCTAAGTTCCATTGTTGTAAGTAGTTAACAAACTGTCAATATAGTTGATGACATACTTAATATTTCCAATGACTTCATTTTAAACAAAATATTGATAAAATCCTCAGAATACAGAATAAACCAGAAGCCGCGTTCACTCATAATTACATGTCGTCAAATGTGTCCAAAAACAATACGTCAATCCCCCCGCCAGCTGCACTTCCCACCCGCGTAGTGTTGCCGACAGTGGAACAATTCCCTTGGATTGGGGTAATTTTACAACAGGAGAGTAAGATACGAGTAAAGCCAAAAAAATAGGTAAACTTACGATAAATGCAACAGACTAGTTGTTCACACATTTCATACAGGTATCGTAAAAGTTGACGATTTCTGGCTGTGTTAATTTTAGTTACACCTACTATACACAACAAATAAAATAAAGCTTCAATAAGTACAAAGGTTTCATTGCGTTCCCTTTTGCTGTTTTAGTTTTTTAAATATGTCTTTAGACTCGGAACTAAAGATTAGAAGTCTACTTACTTTACTTAGTTCCTGAGATTCAAACAATTCAAGAGAGACAAACAAACAAACAAACTCTTCAGCATTATAATTAGTACAGATATATCTTAGTAGGATATGCTGTTTTCAAACCACCTTTGTCATAAATATATCTCTTCAAAGTGAATTGAGCAAACTATGCTCTGGCTAAATGGTTTCCAAAATTAATCTAACCGTGCCCTTTGTATGATTAGTATTTATTTTTTTGTCAGGGAAACTAATATGACATAGGCTCCACAATGGACAAAAATATAACCCACAACAAATAAATAAGTGGGTAAAATTTTCACCAAGAATGACAACACTCACAAAATGGCCGCATCATTATCATAGAAAATTAAATCGATAAAAAAATCAATAATTAATTAAATATACTATTGCAGTCGATGCTTGCAGATGAAATGTAATCTTATCCACTTTTTTCGTAATTCCAGTCGTATTTTTACTCGTAGTAATAACACAAGACGGCATCATGAAATTAAAATTGATACTCGTAAATACGTCACGACATGCCACGTGCCAAAATTGACTAATCGTAGAAATTTCATACTATTCTAGTTGAGAATGGTTTTAGTTGCTTAAGTTTAAAGCGCGATGACGCCTTCTGGTTTGTTCTGTATTCTGAGGATAAAATGTAGGCTTGCATACACTTCTTTGTACCATACTTTTTTATAAATACCCAAGAGAATAGATAGCCTACCAAGTCGTTTCCCAAAAAGGCAAGGTCTTATATCATGGCCAGTTTTATTAAACATGTGTATCTACATGCCCCATGAAAATATGTCCACCCTAACTGGACATTACACCCATGGGAAGTGATAGGGATCACCCTACTGATTCACTAATGCATGAGTAAAGTGCATTGCTCCCGTAGGCCATTATTAATTTTCTTAGAGTTTATCAAACATAAACTTTTATCTTTTTGCATTACCCAGTTCTTAATTTAATATTAAGATTATAAATTTTATGAATACTTTAAATCTGCATTCCTACGAATTCAAGTCACCGTATGATACCCATTGAGCCATAATTAGGCATATTCATTTTAGTCAACGCTTGATGGCAAATGTTATATTTTAGGTGTTTTACTAGCTTTTAGTTGGTAGATAGTGCTCTCTTGTTAAGGATGAATAATCATCATATGACTTCTTGGACCCCTCCATTTCTTCTCCTGCTCCGAACAAGGGCCACGGTTCTCATTATTTTGCTTGCATCCACAGTCCCGGCTGAACATTGGCCCTTTTGGCCCCAATGCCCCATCTTTGGTGGTCTTTTTTTTTTTTTTTTTTTTTTTTGTGAGGGTAAAATCATCAAATGACTTCTCCCGCCCAGGGCCGGGCAGGAGGGAGTGTCAGACTCTTACTGACTAAAAACCCCCCTGTTCCTTCTCCTGCTCTGTGCCGAGGTCGCGGTGCCTCATTGCGCTTACCCCGCAACCCCGGCTGAACATCAGCCCTTTAGGGCCCCATCTGTGGTGGTCTAATGGCTCTTTGAGGCGCGCGCGGAAAGTTACGCGCGGGCGGCAAGCTACCAGTATAGCATTTAAACCCAAAGTGAATTGAGGGGTATCTTAGTAAAGTGACAATTGCTTATTAATTTACATAAGTAGGATATGAGCATGGCTCTTTGAGGCGCGCGCGGAACGCTACGCGCCGTACGCTCGGGCCTGGTTCTGGTCGGGCGGCGAGCTGCCCTTACTCGCCGACCGCAGGCCCGTGCTTACGGTGGCCGGAGATCGTCCCTTGATCCCCGACGCCCGTAGTGTCGCCAGTTGCGGCTGCTGGGGCGTGAGGAGGAGGATTGCTCCCTCACGCGGGCCGCCTCTCTCTTTGCGAGCATGACTGCTTCACAAAAGGAGGAGACGGCGTCCCAGTTCCTCTCACTCCGCACCATGGCCTCGACTAAGGCCGGGCGCGAGAGGTCGCCGCCGCCGATCACTTCCCTGAGGATACGGCGGTGCTCAGCCCAGGCAGGGCATACCGCTACCGTATGCTCCACCGTATCCTCTAGGTGATCCTCACAATGACGACACTCGGGCGTTTCCTCCCGCTGGATCCGAAACAGGAACCTACCGAAGCTGCCGTGCCCGGTAAGCACCTGCGTCAGACGGAAGGTGAGGACGCCGTGGCGTCTCTCAAGCCACTCCTCAAAGAGGGGTCTTACCGCTGCTATGGTAGCGTGCCCGGCCCTCGGTTGCGACAGTCGTTGTTTCCACTCTGCCATGAGATCTCGCCGGAGCTCATTCCGCCACGCACTAATTTGGCGCGGCAGAGGATCTTCGCCCCGGCGACGCGCGTCTGCGCGCAAACTGTAGACGCGCGCAAGCGCCTTCGCTTCTAGATCCCACGGCGGTGATCCGGCAAGGAGGTTCGCCGCCTCCCCGGAGATCGTGCGATATCCGCGGATTATTCGGATGGCCATGACCCTCTGGGACGCGACCAGCGTACGTGCCGGCCGCTGCTTCAAGTCCGGCGCCCACACAGGGGCACCGTAGAGGGCCATGGATCGCACAATCCCCATATACAACCTCCGGCAGGAGGCGTTTGGCCCCCCGAGGTTGGGAAGGAGCCGCTTGAGCGCGGCCCCAGACCGTTCCAACTTAGGGGCCAAACGACGAAAATGCTCTGTGAAGTTCCATCGGCTGTCGAGGACGAGACCCAGGTACTTCATCGCCGACTCGACGCCGATGGTAACTCCTCCTGCCGTTATTTGGGACCCACCTGGAGGTGGCGCGTTCCGACGGCCATAGAAACACATGGCCTCGGACTTGTGGAGCGCCACCTCGAGTCCCAACTGCCGGATCCTTGCAACGACTGTCGCAACCGCTTGTGACATCAGGTCGGCCGCCGCCTGATGCGACCTCCCGTTCGCCAGCACCAGCGTGTCGTCAGCATAACAGACAATGCTGACGCCGCTCGGGAGGTCGGTGCGTAGCACCCAATCGTACCCGATGTTCCACAGGAGAGGTCCCAGGACCGATCCCTGTGGGACACCGCGCGACACCTCTCGCCGATTCCACACGCCCCGGTGACCGGGGTAGATGACGCATCTGTCCGTCAAGTAAGCCTCGACTACACGACGGAGATAGGCAGGCACCCGGTGATACCGGAGTGCCTCCAGATTGCAGCTCCAGGGCAACGAATTGAAGGCGTTGGCGATGTCCAGAGACACCGCCACCACGACTCGCCCCCTAGCCAACGCAGTCCCCGTCGTGAGGTCCCTCACGCGCATGATGGCGTCCACCGTGGAGCGCCCTCTGCGGAAGCCGAACTGGCCGTCCGCTAAATCCGGCCCCCTTCCAGACAGGTGCCCGACGAGGCGGTCTGATATTATCCTCTCGAACAGTTTTCCCACCTCGTCGAGCAGCACAATGGGCCGGTACGCGGACGGAGAGTCCGCAGGACGCCCCGGCTTCTTCACGAGGACCAGTTTACCCGTCTTCCACGAGAGCGGAAACTGGCCCCTCTCCAAGCATGCGCTGAAAAGACCAATTAGTCGAGGCCTGAGAGCCTCCGAGGCCAGGACCCAAACCTTGGCATGCAGCCCGTCAGGTCCTGGGGCGGTGTTCTTGCCGCTCAGCCGGCGCACCGCCACCCTCAAATCTACCTCAGTCAATTCCGGAGCAGATTCACCGAGATTTTCAGATCAGATTCCGAGCAGACGGTGAATCTTTGGTGGTCTAATGATGGAAAAAAGCTAAGGTCTTAAGTTTAGGATTGTGATTAATAATAAACTAGACGTAGAAGGACAGTCACAGTCTCTTCGATTCCACACACGATTTATTGAATTGAGCTGTTCATTTCTAAATTTAGTTACTTTTTTAGAGCTGGTTACAGTAAAACAACTAACAACGGCCTCTTCAACATAAAATCAACCTACG